GGGAGAGGGAGAAGCAGGCTTCCCGCCGAGCAGGGAGCCCGATGCTGGGCTCGATCCCAGGACCCTGGGACCTTGACCTGAGCCGAAGGCAGACGCTTAATGACTGAGCCACCCAGGCGCCCACCAGTGTTAGTCTTAATTTTTAATCTTTCAGTGCCCAAATTACTACTCTACTAGTAGAATAAATAAATAGGATCTGCTTACAGTTTTCAAGCAAGAAGAGAGCACAGAGATCATTTCATCCATATTCCTTATTTTACTAAGAATGGTAAAAAGACAGTGACTTGCCTGACATCACATAAGTTATAACTAAACTAAATGTGACTAAAACACACGTAGCTGGTGGCTCTCAGTCCTTTGTTTTTGAAACTACAATCTAGTTCAACTCTATGAGATGGCTGTTTATGGTGCCCAAGACAGACATAGGTATTACTCTCACGGAATTTACCATCCACTGAGAGATAAAAAAAATTATTCATAATTATAAGGAGGGTTACAGTGTGCTATAATCTAGCACATAGCCAAGGAAATTGGACCTAGATGAAGGCTTACGGTAGGCATGATGATGATTTCATAGGAGTTGAAAATGCAAAGGAGTAAGTGTGGCAATGAGGGAAGAAGAACATTCTAGGCACACCAAACAGCCCATACGAAGACCTAGAATGAGTGGATGGTATGTGAAAGGACCTGAGTGAAGGCGAGAAGGAGCCCGAGGGGCAAGGGGAAGAGAGCTTAAGATAATAACCTAGGTGCAGATCAGACTTTGGGTGGCCATACAGACCATGGCACGGATTAGCTGGATTTGGACTGTAAGGTTCTAAGTAGTAGAGTGGCCATTCTTGGAAGTTGTGCAAATCCCTTGAGTATCAGTTTATTTCTAATGGCATAAAAGCAGAGTCCACGCCCGTCTTCACGCTGATCCTGACCCAAATGCTCAGCAGTGATTTGCAGGAGGCATGGGAGGTACAGTTGGTTCTGCCTGTTGTCCTGCCCTTCTGGGTCAGCACCACCATGGCCTTGCTGTCTAACCTGTTCACAGACTCATGTTTGGACTGGCTTTCTGACAGTGTTTGGAATGGTCCCCTCTTGACCTGGCAGCTGCCCACTTCTGCCACTTTGCCTCACTTGAAATGTTGTGATCCTATCTCAGTATCCGAGGATGCCAATTTGACTCTCAGCTGCTAGCAGCCTGTGGATTTGAGTCCCAGTAATGGTATTGGTCACTTAAATTTATGTCTTTTAGCATCTAACCTGTAATCAGAGTTTCAAAAGAATTGTAAGCATTTGCTGCCTATATTGCTTTTCTTTATGAAGAATGTGTGGCTTTTAAGATAATGGTTGAATTTCTAACAACTTATAATTTAGTTCACTTGCTCCAGTTGACATGATTTAATTTTTTAACATTTTGCTCTGGGTAGTGGACGTGATGAACACTGTGTGTTCAGCTGCTCTTTATTTGTTCTTTAATTTACAGTTTTCACGTGTACTGAAGAATAGAGCCTGGCCCACCTTTAAACAGGCCAAATCTAAAATCTCCCCACTACACAGCAGTGATTTCTGCCCTACCAACTGCCATGTCAACATAATGGAAGTTTCCTATCCAAAAACATCAACCTCCCTGGGGAGTGCATTTGGTGTTCAGCTGGATAGTAGGAAGCACAATTCTCATGATAAAGAAAATAAATCTGAGCAAGGTATGTTAGCTTTCAAAACTTTCTCAAATCACAAAAAGTTATTTAGGCAATTATTAACTATTCCAGCGTCCCGGAAATAGAATCAATTCCTGGTGTGTAAACAAGTCTGAATTTTAGAAAGACAGGGTTCCTCCCTATACTCATTTGGATAATTATACATAAATGTTTATAGAATCAAAAAGGAGTTATGCATTTTTATTATTTTTCCTTCAAGAAGAACGATTGTTCTTGCTTTCCTCACATGTATGACAGGCACAGCTTATCCTGCTGTGAAAACCACTAGTCTGAAATGGCCCTATAACTATGAGAAAACTACAGGAGGAGCAGCTTCTGGGATGCGCGGTGCCATTCCCCACCAGCACAGTAGAGCATGGGATTGAAGGGTATTTTAATCACAACTCCCATAAGCTTTAATTCCTGAATTAAATTCAGCATTGGATTGGCATTTTATTTTATGTAAGCCTGAGTGTCTAGAATGAATTTCACTAGATCATTATTGTAAGTTAAAGGCCATAAATATTATTCTGGAATGATTTTAACTCCTCAGGGAAACTGAGCCCTATGGTGTACATTCAGCACACAATCACGACCATGGCGGCCCCTTCAGGTCTGTCTCTGGGACAGCAGGATGGGCATGGGCTCCGGTACTTGTTAAAAGAAGAAGACCTAGAAACTCAAGATATTTATCAGAAACTATTGGGCAAACTTCAGACTGCACTGAAAGAGGTGGAGATGTGTGTTTGTCAAATTGATGAGTAAGTATTTTATTTACTGTACTTCTAAATGTGCCTAATAAAATAGCTATAGAAAATGTGGCTTTTGAACATCCATCAGTTTCTCTTTCGTTTTTAGAAATGTAAGATTGTGTGTGTGTGAATCATATAGATCCTCTTTACTCTAACACCTTAAGAGTGATATAACATGGCAACTATATACATGTATATTTTAAGGAAGCACTTAATACCAGGGAAGAGAGTGACAAAATTCTGCCTTATAGAAAACACTAAGTCTCAATGTGAAAATATTAAACTGAAAAATATGATTGAAAGAGTACCAACTAGGTATACAGATTTCCTGGTATCCTTGATAGGGCAGAACACAGTATTTAATGTATATGCACTCAGTAGATGTGTATGAAAAATATAAAATATAGCAAATCTTTAACATACTTGTTAAATGAGTAAATGCAAAATTATGTTTCGCTAGGACCAATGATCAATGAATGACCTTTTTTTTTTTTTCTTCTGATTGAATTAATGGTTTACTAAGCAATAACCCAAATAGCTGTGCCGGTCATTTGGAAATTTTTATCAAGAACGGAGAAAAGGAGGAAGTTAATTAAAACTTTTCCAAAGAGGTTGACTCTGATTCTTATTTAAAAATTTGATGGTTGGACAATTGCCTCAACTCTGTGGGATGATTTGCCACATCATGGTGTGTGATTATGTGTCACAGCTAGTCAAGGTCACTCTGTATAAAGAACAAGGGCTTTGGGATAGCTTGGTCTCTCATGTATTAAATAGGATGAAGAATAATAACAAATTACAAGTTTGTGGTGAAAATTATAAAAATCAATACAAAAAATAGTGCAGTGCCTAACATTATGCTTGCTCATCATTTAAGGGGTTGAAATTGGTGAATATATCTGAAGTTGATAGAATTCGAAAATGGCATAGACACCAATATCCTCTTTTTATCATGCTCTCTTTATGAAGTTAGACATTTAGATTGCTGTCGGATGTGTATTGTTTAATTCCCGCACATACATCATCCCATACTTCCCTGGATAATTCAGTTTTGACATAAAATATTTAGAACTTATTCTAAGCCTTTTTGGCAATTGGACATTATGCTAATAAAATCTTAATTGACATGATCTCTCTTTTTTAAATGTTTTCTTATTTTTTTAATCTTATTTATTTATTTGAGAGAGAGAGAGACCACGAGCATGAGTGGGGCGGAGGGGCAGAGGGAGAAGCAGGCTCCCTGCTCTGCAGGGAGCCCGACGCAGCACTCGATCCCAGGACCCTGAGATCATGACCTGAGCCAAAGGCAGACCCTTAACTGACTGAGCCACCCAAGCACCCTGACGTGATCTCTTATTTTACACATCTTTAAAATTTAGAGATCAAAATCACCATATTAGATGCATCATATTTCTAAGGTTATCTTTAGATAGTTACTGTTTACTATGCTAATTTGTTCTGACATTTTTATGAGTTAATTTAGACTTGAAATTCTGTTTTCCTGTGTCTAATACACTAGTTTTAAAAAAATTGTTTACTACATCGGTATATTATATTGTGACTGCCCCATTTACAGATGAATTAAATAGTTTGGGGCTGCTAAGAGAACAGGGGGCTATCTTTTAAGCAATTGTGTGATACTTTGGATTTTGTGAGAACAACCTTGTGACACATAAGTTAATATCTTAGGGCATTATATTTTGTTTCATTTAATAAATGGAATTTTATTATATGATATGTTCTATTTTAGAAACCAGTTTTTTTTTCTCCCTAAAGTATTTAGGATGTGTACAGAGTAAGAATCTTTATTAATAAGGCAATAAATAGTGGCACTGAATCATGTATCCTAGCCCTCAGAGGGATTTTAGGAGAACATCTGGACCAATCCCACACTGCCAGTCAGGCCAAGAGTTATTTTTCCTGCTTTTCAGATGAGTCCTTTACCAATGGCAGAATCATTGATGTGCCTGAGCAGATACTACCTCGGAGACCAGGCCTCTAATGCATTGACTACTCAGCACTTCCTGGCAGTTGTCCAGACTTTGGCTGTCTTTGTTAATTTATTGATTTTTTTTTTTTTTTTAAGTTCAGCTGATGTAGATATATTTTCAAGAAAACAGAGCCAAAGGGCTCCCTTTACTTGGCTTAAAATGCTTTATATTTAAAGCACTCATTTAGGGGAGTTAAGCTATTTTTGTTAACCAAAACTACTTAAAATAATTACCTATTTTTACTTAAGATTTTCCCACTTTGTTATTCTAAAAGCCTTTCCCCCACTGTGCATGTTTATTAGGAAAATGACATGAAATGAGCAAGTGATTTGAGAAACTTCCTTGGTCTTCTCTGTGTGTACCATATATTTTAATTCTAAATGTAAATATGTTCCACATAATTCAATGTGCAATGTAATCCCTTTAAAACAGTGCAGTCGTCCAAGTGCCCGGATTCCCTGTTGCCCCGTTCAGAGATACTGCAGTGCAGTCGAGCTTGACAAATTATTGGAAAAGCTAGTTACTAAACAATTTTCTCACCAGGTAGTAATTATTCTTGGTCGGACATAGATGCCTCTGCAGAGCCAAGAAGCAGATCTCGGACACTCTGCCAAGTTTGAAGAGAAATTGCCTCACAACATCTCATTGCTGGCCTTTCTAGAAATCCTTCGTTCCTGGGAAAGGGCCTGGTCCTGAGCTTGTCTGCCTACCCTGCCACTTGGGAACACTTCTCCCAGAAATAAAATTTCCTTCAACACATAGACATTCCACTAAATGCTTCTACTTCCTTCAGATCCAAAGATGGGACTAGAGACACATTTGTTGTCTATTAACATGAAATAAGGTGATGTTATGAATTTATTCAACATTCTATAGTTCCTGTCTCATTGAAGCTAAATACTTTTGTCCTTCAATGGGCTATTTTCTGGGTAATGACACTTAGGTACTAGACAGAAGTAGAGGGCAAAATAATTTGTGGATAATCCAAAACCATTGACGGGACTTCAGAATACAGCGTTTGTGTATTCTCTCAGGGAGGAGACAAATAAAGATTCGTGGGGGCTGGTGAAGATAAGAAAGCTGAGAACAGACCTGCCTTTTATAGGTGCCAGATGCCCCGGACTGAGTGATGAACAAACCACACTGTGGGACACTTAGTGAGCTGGGCTTACAGTTGGAATAGTGGGGTTGTCAGTGGAATTACCTTTGAGGTTTTCCCAAGGATTTTGCTCGTAAAAAAAATGAAAAGAGGACCCAGCTTCATAAGCACTAACATGTATCATAGGGGTTTATGTGCCAGGCACAGTTTTATCAGTACATGCACTGCTTGATTTCATTCCTACCGTCCCTCTGTGATGCGGGTTATGAAACACAAGGACATAGCACATTAAATCTCAAACTTAAAATTTGTTTCCAAAACTGAATTCTAGATTTCCTTTTACAGAAAGCTACTCTGACTCCTCCCCCATGAAGGCGTTCCCTCTTTTCAGGAAAGTATCCCCCATCTCTTCAGTTCTGCAAGCCAGAGTCTGGGTATTACCTTTAATTCTTCTCTTTCCTGCCCCTTCACCTCCAGTACCTTATCAAGTTTGGTCAAGTATACCTCAGAATGTATACCTCAGAATGTATCCGCTCCATCACCATTGTCCGCTCACTAGTGCCCACTGTAGGAGTTTCCAGGTATGCCCTTCTAGTGCATTCTACATACAGCAGATGCTAGAGGGATCTGTAAAGGTATATCATGCTAGTTCCCTGCTTAAAACCATTTCATGGCATTGGGATACCGTTAAAATAATAACTACATTATTGTGGCCTGTGTAGCCCTACACAGTCTGCCCCTGTCATCTTCTTTAGTCTCATGTCTCTCAGCTCCAGCTGCACTAGTTTTTTCTGATCCTGGAATGTGTCAAACCTCTGCGTGGTCAGTGCTGCTCCCGAGGTCTGCTGCTAGCCTTTTAGGCACTCAGGTTGACGTCAGGCTAATGCTGATTTGTAGAGAGGCTCTGCCTACTTCCCCAGGATAAGGTAGATACTCCTATATCCCAGTCTCATATGTCATCCTTCTAGGTATCCTACTCTCTATACAGCTGGTTTTTGTTTTATGTTAACAAAACCCTAAAGCCTCACAGACTTTAAACAACAGACTTTCTCTCTTGCTCGCTCTGCATGCCCATCTGGGTCATAGGGTTTCTGCTCCATGCTGACCTCACTCAGAGTTCAGGCTGACAGAGCCCCATGAGCTGGAATGTCTCTTGTCCCATCAGCGAGAGGGAATGAGGTAGGCTGCACCTTTGCTTAAAGGCTTGCACCTAGAAGGGACTCAGGTCACCTCCACTTACATCATACTGATGAAAACAAGTTTGATGGTCATTCTTATCCTCATGGGGTAGGGGAGGCCACCCAGCCATGTGCCCAGGAGAAGTGGGATGTGGTAGATAGCACTAATGACTTCCTTCCTCCCTCCAGAGTGTACAAATGATAGGCAGGGAGGGGATGTTCTGCATCATTTGTAAAGTATATGTATATAAGTGTGTGTCTCATTCACCCCATCTCCAAAATGAGGATCCTCACCATAATAATAGTCCTACCTACTTCATAAGGAGGTTTTAGGATTGAATGAATTAAGTCCTTAGCATGGTGACTGGCATAAGAGCTCAACAAATGTTAGGTATGACGAAAATGATAAATATGGTGATATTTAAGTCTCAGTTTAATAGAAGAACACACAGGTGGATGCAGGATACTATGTAGAAAAATCTTTATTCGTCAAGGGTATGAGAAGGAGATTGAGCCGCTCAGGATTTTAATTGAGAATTAATGGACCTAGAGTAGGTAGCTCAATATTTTATATGAGCAAAAGTGAAGGAAAGCTCTTTCTGTATGCACGCATATATAAAGCTAAATTTATGCATTATTATTACTTTTAAGAATCTGGAAATGCTATGCAAAAGCATGGTGTCAGAAACACTGCTTTTCTATCATTTGTTTGTAAGCCTAACACTTGTTCCCACGGGGTCAGTGCAAACATGATTGCAGCTGCTTAAAATGAAAAGCAGTGAATTATATTATGTTATATTATATATAATTCATATGACTTTGAAAAAAAAATGAGGATGCTCGGTTCCATGACTTCTAATTTAAAAGATACATAAAGCACAGAGTACTCCTTGCAAAATGAGAATTCCTGCATCTCCTTCCTCTTTGGTATTCAGAGTTCATCTGTCTGTGCAGTGTAGAGCTTGGGTAATTAGAGTTAATCTAATGTTTTAAGCTTTTGGGTGGACAGAGTAAATAAATACACATCTGTCTTCCAAGACATAAAAGTATCTGTGCAAATAGAAAAACTGTTTAAAAGATAATTTATAGCTTCACAGGGCCTTGAGCAATGTAACACAGCCCCCTGATTTTCACTGGTACCTAAAAGCTATAAAATGCCAAAATATTATTCAAATGTTATCTCACAGTGAGACCTTCCCTGACTACACTATTTGAAGTCACAGCTCCATCTCCCTCCCTTTCTTTATTTTCCTTTTTAACATTTGTCGCCATGTGATACACTATACAATTTACTTGTTTATTGTTTGTTTCCTCCCAGTAGAACCTAAGCTCCAAGAAGACAGGGGCTTTTGTTTGTTTTGTAAACTGCTGTATGCACAGCACCAAAACAGTGCATGGTACAATAGATGTGTCTAATGAACTAATTAGTGAAATCTCATAACATAATATTTACTCAGTGCACAGCATTGGGTTTGACTTGATGGGTTGTACATAAGAGGTATAGGACATTCTCATAGTCTTGAAATAAACATGACATTGCTGTGGAAAAATGAGCGTGAAGATACGTACATAAGTGCTGTGGACTAGAACAGAATGTCGCCCGTACTTGGTAAATGAGAAGGTGATTGTTGGCTGGAGAGGCCATGCAAGGGCCGTTTGTTAAGATATGGTTTAATTCATTTTGCAAGTTTTACAGCAATTTGTGTGATAGCAAAGACTGATTCCACATTTGCATAATTTTGAGTTAGTACTAACAAACTCTCTACAGCCCAACATTCAAGTCTGGAGTGATGGAATCCTTGCTGCCCAAAGTCCACATCAAGGGTGACACCAATTCAGAACTGAAGATTGTGTTTTAGCCTTGAGCTCAAGTGGAAGAACTTTACATTTGGGCAGATTCGCGACATGCCATCGTGACTAGATTGTGGATGATATGGGGGTAGCCCCTCCTGCCTCCTGTCCTCACATTGTATGTGACTCTTTAATGTCTTACGGTCGTGATGGCCAGAACACCTGCTTGTATGAGCAGTGAGAAAGGATTGACCACATGATATTCTTCCTGTCAAAGAGAGACAGCTTGGGAGAAACCCAAGGTGGGGGTAGATGGGTAGATGGGTTTTTAATATCTGAGGGTAAGCCAGTGAGGATATGTAAGCACGTTTAGTGTTTATTTTAATATTTGGGTAGCACTTTAAAGTTGTCTAGGTATTTTTAGATGGTAGTGATAATGGCTAGGGGAGAGAGGTGACACCCACCCTTTATGTACTGGAGTATATTCTCATTTCATTGTCACAGAATCATATGGGCTAGCTATTCTCCATAGATGCCAAAGAGAATTATAGTGTTGTTGTGATAACAAAACTAGTAAGTGGCGGAACCAGGTTTCGAGCACAGTTTTCTAGGCTAAATTGTGTGCTGTTTCTGTTACTTGTTCTGACAGGAAAAAGTGAACTTCATGTGACTGTCTTTTAATACAATCAAAGATTAATTTTATGTGAAACAGAAACACTCTAGAAATATTTCTAAGCCTATCATATTCAAAAAGTAAGGTACTTACCTGTGGCAGCCAGTTTGAAAATGTGCACTTATTTTCTTTTTTAATATCACATTGCAGCCTTATGTCTTCCATAACATATTCTCCTAAATTAGAACGTAAGACATCAGAGTGCATAGTACCACCAGACAGTGACAACGAGAAGGGAGAAAGAAATAGCAAACGAGTCTGTTTTAATATGGCAGGAGATGAGCAGGAAGATTCAGGTCATGACACCATCAGCAACAGAGACTCTTACAGGTAATTCATTAATTCCTTAAACTCATCTCATCAACACAGTCAAATGTGATTCCTTATTTTCCACAGAGGTCTTGAAAAAAACATTTCGATTATCATTTTTGTTTATTGCCCTCACAAAATAACCGCCGGCTATTACCAACCCCAGACAAAGCATAGTGTGGTCCTGTAGAATCTTTCAAATTATTCTTTTTTCATAATCTGAGTAATTTGGAGAAAGCATTTTTTTCTCCATCTCTGTGGACCTAATTTGGGGGACTTGTTCTGTTACAGATTATGTAACCTGTATAGCAGATAAGCAAGTTGAGCCTATATTAACATTTTTTTCAGATATCTGTTTCTGATTATTGGACTGTCGGGTGGTGAATAGGAGTTCTTTTTGTTGTGTTTCTACCCTTTTTTTCTTATATTCTGTGTTCTAAGGGAACTGGACTAATTTTTCCTGCTCACCTCCATGACCAGCTTTGTGTCTTTTTTTCTTCTCTTGCACACATTCTAAAGATTTTTTTTTATTATTATTATTTGAGAGAGAGTGAACGAGCGAGAGCAGGAGCAGTGGGGAGGGTCAGAGGGAGAGGGAGAGGCAGACTCCCCACTGAGCAAGGTGCCAGAAGCGGGGCTCGATCCTGGGACCCCGGGATCACGACCTGAGCCAAAGGCAGATGCTTAACCTGCTGAGCCACCCAGGTGCCCCTCTCTTGCACACTTTCTGTACAATCTTGGTAGGATTGCTGTAACAAAGTAACCAAAGACTGGGTGGCTTAAACAGCAGACATTTATTTATTTGTATTCCGACAGTTCTGGGGCAGAAGTCCATGATGAAGGTGTCAGCAGGGCTGTTTTTTTCTGAGGTGTGTGCAGGAAGAATCAGGTCTAGGCCTCTCTCCTTGGTTGTAGATGACTATCTTCTCCTTAATGACTTCATTTTAACTTGATTAGGTCTGTAAAAACCCTCACTCCAAACAAGGTTGTATTCCTGGGCCCTGAGTGTCAGACTTCAACCTCTGGATTTTAGGGGGAGATGCAATCAACCTGTAACACCTTCTCTCCAAAGCCTTGTCATCTGCCCACCATCATCCTTCCAACGATGGCGGCTCCAGTGAACTTCCTTACGTGAAAGTGCTAGTTCTCCTTTGAATCCTCGTGTCACCTGACAACTCATTGAGAACTGTCGTCACCGGCCATATGTGCTGCATGTGTGGCTTCAGCATCTCCTGTCTTACTTACTTTAAAGACCATTTATTTGAGAGAGAGAGAGAGAGAGCACATGAGCGGGAGGGGCAGAGGGAGAGGGAATCTCTAGCAGACTTCCTGCTGAGGCTCGATCCCACGACCCTAAGATCATGACCTGAGCTGAAAACAAGAGTCTGATGATCAACCGACCGCGCCACCTGGGCGCCTCCTGTCTTACTTACTTTAATCAAAGACAGAACCTCTCTTATTCACTGTTATTTATTATACCGTGTTTTACAATGAAAAACTATTAAGCAATTACTATTAAAGTTATTCTCTGCAGAGATGTTTAGCACAAACTAATAGCTAACATTAAAAACATTTTTACCAGACACATCGGGAAGCAGGATGATCTCACATAATTCCCAACACAGCCCCGTGTGGCACATGCTGATATTAACTCCATTTTACATGTGAAAAGGCTGAGGCCACAGGAGTTACATAATTTACCTGTGAAGCCAGGTGGTCTGGCTCACGGTTTCTCTCTTAACCATTGTACTATCCCAATTTCTACATGAAAAGGATTTTAACAAATATGTAAGAGTTAATTATTCCTAGAGATTTAATATGATATAACACAGATTAACCAGCTTTACCATTTCATTTACTTTTAGCTTCAAAGGATACCAGTAGACTGTTCAATAGGAACCTGTGGTTTTTCTCCAATGGGAAATTACAGATCTAAAAATACTTTCTTACCTCAATTTCTAGTTATCAGATAATTAAAATTACCCTCTGAGTCTCCCTCTAGGTTAAACTAGAAATTTTAAATGTAAATTTAGAGTTAAATAAGTCCTTTTTACTGATTCTGAGAGGGGGAAAAAGTATTTTGTCTCTTGTACTCTTTCTGAAATCTATAATTTGTCCATATTCATATACAAACCTTTTACACATTCTTTCCTTCGACATTGATCATTATCAAGCACTTACCAGGTGTGGTGGCCAGTGCTGAGCTCTGCAGGGGAGACAGGGTGCCGGTCCCCTCCGGGGAAGCTCAGACTGCAGCTGATGAGTTATAATTGAAAGCTACCAGAAAGATTTAAAAGGCAGAGATCATGAAACAGGACCTTGTCTCTATCAGCACATTAACTACAGACATGCCACCTCAAATAGATAATGATGAATTTTTTTTTTAAAGATTTTACTTTTTTATTTGACAGAGAGAGGTAGAGAGAGAGAGAGCACAAGCAGGGGGAGAGAGAGAAGGCTCCCTACCGAGGAGGGAGCCCGATGCGGGACTCGATCCCAGGACCCTGGGATCACTACCTGAGCCAAAGGCAGTAGATTAACCAACTGAGCCACCCAGGTGCCCCGATAATGACGAATTTTAAGTGTGGTTTGACTCCTAGTTTTCTACCTTCAGATTAAAAAAAAAAAATCATTCAGGATCAGCCTATACGGCTTCAGAGATTTTGAAATACAATTGAATTTAAATTTTTCTAAAGTGTAAGATAAAATATGAGTCGAACCAGATTTATCTTTCTCGTCATTTTCTCTAAGACCTATCAGTAAGTCTAACTGTGGCATGACACGTGTATCTGATAAGAACTGGCAGGGCGATGACAAATGCACGCCCAAAGTGACGTGTGCCTCCTTCTTCCCAGCGACTGCAACAGCAACAGGAATTCCATTGCCTCCTTCACCAGCATCTGCAGCAGCCAGTGCAGCTCCTACTTTCACAGCGATGAGATGGACTCAGGTGCGTTTGCTGAGGCGTGCGTCCTTTCTGCTCCCTGTCCTCTGGGGGATACCTCTCAGGGATTACACTGTGTGATCGACCTGCATTTTCACCTCGTATCAGTCAGCCTTGGCAGCCACATGTGCTGGATGAAGTCAACGTCCCAATCCCCTTGTGAAAAGAGTGAATTAAAAAGAGACGAGAGAAACAAATGAAGTCTGATCTTAATACCTATTTTAGGAGTTTTCATGGTACTACAAGGAGGCTAGGTACACAGGAAACAGGTTGTACTAAAACATGAGGGGTTGTTGACTGTGTGAGGAGGCGGGTCAGGCTTTGAACCTGAGGACTTCTGAGACAGTAGGTGCACGGGGAGCCGAATGATGAGGAAAACACTGACTGATAGAAAGATCTTAGAGATATCTTATCTGGGGTGTGTTAAGAACAAAGACTTCGCATCCGATTAGGACACATCTTCATTTTGAAATATGCAGTTTATTTCAACTATTTAACAGTTAGGAAACTGCACTGTTTGAAAAAATCATTGACATAATATATATATTGTTTTTTCCTGTGAGGCACTCTGCTCCCACCTCTATTTCAAAGAGCAATCATCTGATATCCTAATTGCTATTAAGTCCTTTGGAATTCTTTATCTGATCAAGAGAACATGATGGAATAAGAGTGCGTGTTTAATTATTATTTTTTAGTTTTATTTATATTAAAATATTTTAGTATGTTAAACAAAGACGGATGATTTATTTTTTTATATCTAGGTGATGAGCTCCCCCTCAGCGTTCGCATTTCTCATGATAAACAGGACAAGATACATAGCTGCCTGGAGCATCTTTTCAGCCAGGTATGATTGGGACAATTATGGGTTTTTTTTTTTTTCCACAGATCAAACTGTCAGGAATCCCTTTTTCGGACATAGTAAAAAGAGCTTAGAATAAGAACGGAAAGGCCTCAGTCTGTCCCTCCATCCCCTTCACCTCAATTTCCACAATTTAAAAGGCAATAAATATTCTTTAGCCAACGAACCCAAAGGATTGTTGTGACTGTCAAATATTTTATGGTTCTTGGAAGAAGTACAGTTATAAAAACAGAAGTTATTCTTTTTATTATTTGTTTCTTTGTAGGTTTTCGGAATTCTTTATGACACTTCTTGCTTAACTTTATTCCTAGTTTCAAGAAGGTCAAGATTCTCTTGGTGTTTGTGTTGGTGTTTTGCATTTTTTAAAAAGAATTATATCCATAACCAAAATTCCTAGTGTAAAAGCTTTTACTGCTTTGAAAAGGATTATGATGACTTTTAGGGTTTTTAAAAATAACTCTAGAAATCTTCTTTTATAAAATGAATATATTGAGTATATTTATATCTTATATTAATATATGATGGGATAGTAAGAAATTTTGCAAGTGTTAGTGAGTTTATTCCAATATTTTATTTAAAGATAGATTTTGCAAGCATCATGAGATTGCAAAAATAATTGTGGCTGGAAAAAAAAAAAAAAATAATTGTGGCTTTAAGACAAAAATATTTCACAAGATTTACTCTTGGAAATGTATATTACTTATTGTGAGAAGTATGTAACTCTCAGAAATCTCTGCTGTTATGGTAGGTGGATTCTATTACCAACCTCCTAAAAGGGCAAGCTGTTGTAAGGGCCTTTGAGCAAACCAACTACCTCACACCAGGTCAAGGATTACAAGGTAAGATTTAAAAAATCACTATTATAAGCAATCGGGAAACAAAGGAGGGAAATAATACAGTCATGAAGTAAAAGCATAGTGTAAGAGGAAAATGGCTGCTCATGTTTCATAATTCCCTTTATATTAATTCTATTTTGATCATTTTTGAATATATATAAAAAGTCAGTATAGGAGCTTTTAAATTTCTTTGCAAGTTTAAAATGTGCAATGCCTGTAGGGACCAGAATAAATAGGAATGAGTTAATTGAAGAGATATAAGTGTGGCATATGTGTGAAGTGTTTCAGCTTTTGCTGAAACCAGCATAATGCCTACTTGGTTGTAGCCCATTGGTTGGGGGAAGGGGTCTCGGGAATGTGCTTTTGGCAAACAGAACAGCCAAACAGAACAACATCTAGAGCTGCCACTTTCTGACATCTAGTTTCGGACGTTGAAAATAGAGTTTTTATCTAAATTTGCTCCTTTGTTTCAATGTTTGTAAGAAAATAATAAGGTTAGTCTTTCTTTTTTAGATTTAACCAATTTTCTCCTGTAATATAACTAGAGAAAGTACCACCATGCTAATAACCCAGGACATCAGGAATGAAAGAGGATGCTGAAGCTCACAGATTTGTTAACTGTTTGGTAAATGGTTGAAACTTACAAGAGATTTTCTGTATTTATTTAGAATTTCAGCAGGAAATGGAACCAAAGCTGAGTTGTCCAAAAAGGTTAAGGCTTCACATCAAACAAGACCCTTGGAATCTTCCCAGCAGTGTCCGGAATCTTGCTCAGAACATCAGAAAATTTGTTGAAGGTCAGGACGAAAAGCAAAGAATATTGCATAGTATCAGCAATAATCATTTAAAACCAAAAGTTCGGTAATGCCCTGATTACTTTTTGCAGTGTTTCATATTATGAGGAAAATCAAAGAATTGGCAAGGGTGAGGGAGGAAGGAAGCAAAAGAAAATAGGATTTTAGAGCCTTATGTTCCAAGGATCTAAATGATGTACACTGTTATCATGGAGAATATTCTCAGTGAATAAAATAAGGGCTCATACTTGGGAGGACGTGGAATGTGGAGAGTTTCATATTTTATAAGATGAAACAATCTCAGCAAAATTTCTAAAGGAGTCCCGAAAGTCATGAAGCTAAGTTTTATGGGAAGCCTAAAAAATTAATTGTGAATCTGTGAGAATCAAAATAATAGGATAGCTTATATCATTGGTTTATAAGTTTCGTATTTGTCTAAGTTTATTGTTATTAACTATCATGACATTGTTTACTCAACATCCTCTAATCGATACAATCTGCAGCTGGAGATACAACATTTCAGGACAATTCTAGTGCATCTGATTACATGTTGTTTAGGGTCAGGGTACTAAGTAGAAAATTCTGAGACTTTCCAAAACAGATATGGTGGAAAAGATGAAATGAGAAATTTGTTTAATGTTTCAAAATGCCTAATTCAGTGATTTTCTTCCCAGCATTAGACCAGTGGCTGGCGATGTCTGGAGATATTTTTCGGTTGTGACAATTGTGGGGTTGCCACTGGCATCGAGTGTGTAGAGGCCAGGGATGCTGTGCAACGTTCTGCAGCGTACAGGACAGTCCCTCACAGCAAAGAATTATTTGGCCCAAAATGTCAATAGTGCTGAGGTTAAGAAACCTCCACAATAAATAAGTATATGCCTGCATTTAAATTTTTATTCCTCAGCCGTTTGTATGTCAGTTGCATGTGGTAAGTAGTACTCAGCAGAATTACAGCATGCCCCCAGTCACTGCCATCTTTTTTAGGGTAAATTAGAGAGAGTTGTATACTTTGCTGACGAAAGACAGCTCTTAAATCTGGTAGAGTCTGAGCCTGTGACATAACTCTTTTGGGCCTCGGTTTCTTCATTTACCAAATGACAGAGATATGTATAGGTTCTGTGATTAGTAAGTCTTCTGCCTCGAAATATAATCAAATATAGCAGCTTAGATACTTATTAGGGATCAGTAGAGGAAAGGTTTGTACAGATACGGAAAACTCCAAATAAATCACGGCAATTCTATTGTGTGAAAAAATCTTTCGTTTTTGACACTGGATTTCTTGGCTACATTTTTATTTTATAGCTAAATATAATGGTTACTGGGGCGCCTGGGTGGCTCAGTTGGTTAAGCCACTGCCTTCGGCTCAGGTCATGATCCTGGAGTCCCTGAATCGAGTCCCGCATCGGGCTCCCTGCTCAGTGGGGAGCCTGCTTCTCCCTCTGACCCTACCCCCCTCTCATGCTCTCTCTCAAATAAATAAACAAAATCTTTTAAATAAAT